GGTTGCTAGCAACAAGTTGCCTCATGTATGAAGGCCTTTAGATACATGCAGTGCAGCAACTTTACTCATTAGATCTACCCATGTGTATACATGTGTTGTATCTAGGAGTTTAAAGGGTCAATCCTGTGAGGAGGTCCTTCTTCAACAACCCATTAGTCATATCAATCTCATTGACTTGACCACTTGTGAGACAATAGACAATGTAATGACTTCTATTGTATCATTAAAAGATTGATGCTTTTATCTTGTGTATTCATCAATGGATCTGGTGTAATGTATCAGATAATGTAGGATATGGTATGCATTCACCACCAGTCCTATATAATGACTATCACTCACTTCTCATCAATACAACAATCATTCTATGGCCTTATTAATTGGGGCAAACGCATGATTTGACTATTGGTATTGTAAAATGGATTTTCAAAATAGAATGAATTGACAAAAGCAATTATAGCTCTACTAGTAATAACAAAACAGATAAAGAGAGGAAAACAGAGAAGAAAGAAAAGGAAGCGTACATAAGAGAAAGTAGAAGTAAGAAATAGTACTCATGATTTTATTGTTATTGCTTAGGAAGACGCTTTACTTCGGCAGCAATATCATTTCTTCCCAATTCCTGGAGTGCTTTAATCAGCTTTTCCCTTGTAGCAGTACCAGTCTTTAACCAGAGAATTATCATGTCTTTACGTGATACATCTATTTGATAGAAACTCTTCGAATGAATTAGCTTCAATTCTTCATTTTCCAAACCAAGAAATATTCCTAGATTTTCCCATTCATTGACTATCTTATTGATAGCTTTCAGTATAACAGGAGCATGAGACTCATCTGTAAATAAATACACACATTATCTATTAATAATAATACTAACACATTCACTCACTTAATACAGAAGCTTCTGGTAATATACTGTCAATAGGAAAAACTGATGAAGGCATTGGAGCTGCTAAAGATGAAAAATAAAAAAATGGCATGAGAGCATGTATCCTAATACATGTAAATGTATGTACGAGCGAGTACTATCTTAAGTTTGAACTAGTATGTGTATATTAGTTGTTTGCAGTACTATTATACTTACTGTTTTTAAACCAGCAGGATTGACGTGGTCCTATTTCCCTTGCTTTACTGCAGCCACCATTAGTGCATGTTATACTAGTTCCAGCTTTGTTACGACGGCATACACCAGCTCCACAGGTCTGGCAAAGAGTTCCCTCTAATGTATTGCTACTGTAGGAGAACTTGCTGGAGACAGACTGTATGGATCCATGGACTAAGAGTCTTAGCTTTGGACATGCATCCTGTACTGGACCAGCAGGTCCATCACAATGTATCTCCAACCACTGGATGGTATCTACCAGTAGAATGTTAACTCCTAAATCTGTTGATTGTAGCTTGATGGCATTACGATAAGGTATCTGTCCTTCTAACATCTTAAACCCTTCCTTTAAGAGACTGACCACCAGTGCTGGGTACATTCCCTGTGGTATAACATTGTCTTCCCAACTC